GCAGGAAACAAATAACATCAGGGACAACAAAGCTCTCTAAAGCGAGGGTTTGTTCGCTCGCTCTCTCCTGGGAATGCCGGTTACTTTCCAGGGGATGTGAGTTGTTACAGTGATTGGAGCAAAGACTGGGGAAGAGTCGAGCGGGAGGAGTTTTGGGCTTTATTGACACTGTCCAAATGCAGCTAGTGTCTGTCGCAATATTACCTCACCGCCCCCTGTTCTGCTGTTGCTCTGAGCCTACAGAGAGCGGCATAGCTATTGTGTGTGTGTGTGTGTGTGTGTGTGTGCAGGGGGAGTGATGAAGGGGTCTCCCTGACTGGTCCTTTGTCTTGCTTTCCTAGGCTGCATATTCCCCGTTAAAGCCAGCAATGCTTAAAGCTTAGACTCTCCCGGGGACCCTCTGTGCAGGTCAGAGATTAGAGTTCTTTCGAGAAAAGCCAGTGGCCAGGGGACACCCACTTTTCAATCCTGGTAGGACATGACTATTTCCCTAAGAGAGCAAAGCACATGAGTAACTGTCATAAAACCAATACAAATAAATGTTCAAGCTGCATAGTGCTTTTCCATTTACAAAGCCCTATTTCATCTCCAAGAAACCCTGAGGAGAGAGTTTTTAAATTATATTCTTACTAGAGGCTCAGTGCATGAAATTGTGCATGGGTAGGGTCCCTAGCAGCTGCCAGCTGGGGCCTTCCTTCATTCCACACCACCCCCTGGTGGTCAGCGCATGTCATAGCAAGCAATCGAACCCCCGGTCTGTCGAACTCCCAAGGGGACACTTTGCTTATTAGGCTTTTATATATATAGATTATCCCTCTTACGCAGGTGAGGTCGCCAAGGTGTAGAAAGAACAAGTGATAGATGAGAGGCAGCGCAGCATGTAGCACATGGAAGGCACGTGGCCCCGTCAATATTCACTGAATGAATCTATGAAGAACCAAACTCTGAGCTGGGACTCACACCGTCCCTGCAGCTGCGAGTCGTGCGCTCGCTGCACTCCGCCAGGCCACCTTGTGAACTCTGCAGCCGCCACCCGTCTGGGGCAGCGGGTGCACTAGTTCACTCCAGGGTTAGGTGGGCTGAAGCTTTCAGCTATCACTTCTTTGTTCTGCAGATGTAAAATTTATGCCTTAAAATTCCAGGAAGGAAAATAATGGCATTTTATTTCACTGGCTCTTTAAAACAGGGTCTGTTCCAAAAGGTTGAATCTATAAACATTACTGGAAATGAGGGAATGGATGCCAGGAATTCCTCAGCTTCGTGTCGGCTTGGGCCAGGATATGGCTGCCACTCCCGTAGCTTACGGGTTGAGAAATATTGCTATTGGACACTTGTTGGAAATTTTAAGCCCCTTGAAAATATGACTCCATTAGGAGAACCTTGTCAAGAGACACACAGGCAGCATTTCAGTTTTTCTATCGATCCCTCCTTTGTGCCGTGGCCAGAAGCCCTACCGCTGAGCACTCCCAGTATTTTCCTGGTTCTCCAGCTGCTAGTTGGAGTAATCTCGGGGGTACCTTGAAATTTCCTGAAATTGTCCTTGCATGAAACGGATCACGGGATTAAAAAGGCCAACAGAAAAGACATCCTGGTCTGGGTTTTGATACTTCCAGCAATGAAGTGCAGGTAGATTTTGTCATCTCAGTTATGGGGAAAGGGATAAAGCACCCTTGATCAGCACATCACGTGTTCCTACGAAGCCAGAGCAAAGGCTGATGAATGAGCAGCTTGTATGATTCTTTCTTCACTTGCCCTCTTCCCCTGAGAATCAGCAAGGAGCTTTCACCTGAGTCGGACTTTTCAGAAGGTATGCTAACGGACTGCGAGACGACGGCCCCTCTACATCTTGCTTAGTTTTCTTGGATGACGATAACAATGACGATGACAAGAACAACGACTATGTCACACACGTGGCAAGGCAAGGGTAAAGGAACCGGTGGGGGCGGTAATTAATTCAGTAAAAGCTTCACGCATGCTCTCTCCCCCCCCCCAAAAAACTTGACGGAACATAAAATAAACTGACAAAGACTTTCCTGAATTAACTCAAGGTGCTAATTACACCATTTGATTTTATCCACACTCCATGATCCAAAAGAAATGATTGCTTATGCTTAATATGTCTGGAAGGAAGAGTGCACTGGGGGCGGGAGAGGGAAAGAAAAGATAAACCCGAGGGTGTGAAAGCCAAGTTGAGACAGACTGTGCTAATCTTGTTTTTCTAGATTGGCAAGTTCTAGGTCACTGCCTGGGACTGTGATGTCTAAACGAGTTTTTGTGTTTAAGGAAAGGTACAAGCGTGGGATCCCAGAGCTCCCTGCTGGCTCCAACAGCTTCCTGTGGAATACAGCAATTCATGTTTTCTTGGCAAAGGGGAGCTATTAAGTGCACGGAACCACGCGGCTCCTGAAATGCACATCTAAGGTCTCTGGCCACATTAGAAATTATTTTCAATTTCACTTTTATATGTTTTAGAGAATGAATTCTAAGAAAAAGCTCAGTCCTTTGACCAGAGTACAATTTCTTAAAAAATGTGTGCCCCAGAGCAGATTTAATGTCCAGTGGAACTGGCTGGGATCCTCGCAGCTACCGGACTCAGTGCCTAATAACCATCGTGACTTTCACACACAGCTGGGAACATCGTACTGCCCGGCAGGCAGCTGTGAAGGTGCCCTCTCCTTCCAGCCTCACGGCCATCGCCACGGCAACACCACGTAGGCCTGATCTTTAGGCCTGAATGTGGAGAAGGGTGTGATGGGCTTGAACCGAGAACCACGGAGCTGAGGGCTGGAAGGGAGCAGCCTCGGTTAAGACACAACGTTCCTAAATTGCCTGCTCTTGGCTGACAGATGCTCCCGGCTGGCTGGTGTGCAAGTCTGGAGGCTGCAGCAGCAGGCTGGAAAGATGGCTGTGCTTGCCAAAACCAAAGCAAGTAGGAAGCGAGCAGGCAGTGCTAAGGGATGTGGTGCATGTCGTTCACCGACTTCAATCCCCTGCCTCCTCTGGGACACCCAGCTGGGCCCGGCAGGGGTGGCGTGATTGCTTCAGTGATGTCCGCCCCTCTGAATGTGTGGGTCTGGATTGCAGAGCAATCCTGTTGTCTCAACAGCATCCTTTCAACTCACCTTTACACAGACCCTTCCCCGGCTTTAACAATCAGACCAGACGGGTGATTTTCAAAGTGTGGTCCCACATAAAAAAAAGGAAAATACAGACTCATTCAGAACACATGGGAACTTGGGAGAAATGTAAATTCTTAGGTTCCACCCCGACCTACTGAGTCCAAACCTCTGGAAGTGGGCCAGCAAGTTCTCCAGGGACTCTGGTGCTCAGTGAAGTCTGAGCGCGACTGCTCTAGACCAGGCCAACCAGGGGAGCCAGGCCACTAGAACAGATGCAACAGAGCTGGTTCCACAAGACTGGGGGAGGCGGGGAGAGAGATGTAATGAAGGGGTGGCATCCACTCCACTGACGGCCACCTGTATGCAACCACGGTGCGTCCATCTGTAGCCCAAATGGGGTAAGGCTCGCGAGGTAAAGAGAAACAGCAGGAGCGAACGTGGTGAAGTCCCTAAGTGCTCTGTGGTCTTTAGAAGGAAGCTGACAAGGCAGGAAAAACATCTCATAAAGGGGCAGGGAGGGGAGTGGTGCCCGCCCACCCAGCGGGAGGAGCTGCTGTTCCACTCCCAGCACTGCTCTGTTTTGTACACGTCTCCTGATCCCATTAGAAACTTCATCATCATTCCAGAGGCTTGGAGAGAATGGAAAATGGAGGAGGGCATGAGAGAGGGGAGCAGGGGGCTGAAGGAGGGCCCTCACTGGGGTCAGCAGAGAGAACTATTCCACCACTGAGAATCATGCAGAGTTGGAAGGTCCCTAACAGTCATGACCACCATGAGATAATGGTTGTATCACCATCACCACCACCATCATCATCACCACCACCACCACCACCATCACATCAAACTAAGTTGGCTGAGCAGTTTGCTACATGCCTAGTACCAGGCTAGGCATTTTGTGTATAATTTCTAGTCCTCTCAACAACTCTGCAAGCTCGGTGGTGTTAATATGTATACAGATGAGGAAAATAAAGCTCAGAGAGGAGAAGCAGCAAGTCCAATATTAGATAAGCAATAGGGGCTGAAATAGGATCCTCATCCTTCTCTGGTATTTGACAACACCACTCTACAGTATTTCTGCCGGGTGTTTCCATCCATCCTGTGCTCCTTACATCCTCGGGCAGCTCATCTTTGGGCTACTAGCACGTTTCTGGTTTACTGGTTCCGCTATCTACCTCCTGCTAGAGTTCACTCACTTGTCCTGCAATTGGCCTAACGCCCTTTCCACACCGATAACTCTTGGAATATCTGCACCGAGCATGTCAAACTCAAAGGCTAACATGGGCCCAATAAACAAGGCATGTGGCCCGTGGGCCGTGAGTTTGACATGCTTGATGCACACAGTTTCAAGAATCTTCCCTTCCTCAGGTACAAAGCCTGGCTTTCTTTTTACTACTCTTCATTTTTTTTTCTTCTGGGAGAATTTTATTTTTTGAAAAATAAAATTTTTATTCTAGAAAGGCAGGAAGGCTGTCATTTTAAAACCCTGAAGAGCTGATTCACAAACAAACTTCTACTTCTCATGGAATTCTGGAGTGTTATTCTCAATATTCCTGATGACTCTTTGAGCGATCATATTTATGCAACTGCAGGCACAGACACAAACCAAAACCCCATTGTTCCCCAACCATGCCGGAGAGCAGAAACGGTTACGGAGTAATTGAATCTTGGGGCCGAAAGGGACCCCTCTTCTGATGTTTCTAAGACACGCCCTCTCTGGAGAATGAGTTGTGTGCCATGAAGTTGGTCGTACTTTTAGAAATGCCAACCAAGGGCTGCATGGTGTTGGGTCCTGGAGGACAATGTGTGGGTGGAACCTGTGAACCTTGGTGTGACTGATGGAGAGGAGGTGCTGGCCTCACCCACAAAAGGCGGGAATCTTACCCTGCGACACCCTGGTCTGGGACCTTGAGGAAATCCAAGCTCTCCGGCATCTGGGACATGCGGTCTGAGCCCGTGGACTGCTGTCGAGGCAGGGGTGGGCGGGCCATGGAGGTGTACAGGCTTTTCTGATTGGACCGCTGGTTTCCAGGAGCATGCGGGTGTGGCACAAACTGGTTTTTGATGACTCCATTCTGATGGTATCCTAGAAAGAGGACAAAAATCAACCTTCAATTTTAGGATCCTTTGCCAAAAGTCTTTCCAAATTCCTTCCATTTATTAACCAAGAGCAACTTACTTAACATTGCCAGGCCTCAGTTTCCCCATCTGAAAAGATGGAGGGCATAACCGCTAACATAGTGTGGGGAACAGTGCTAACACATTGCAAACTGCCCAGCAAGCGCCTGGAACACGGCAGACCCTCACGCACACTTGTGAAATTTGACAGCAGAATCACCAGACATCCCGGATTTCAAAGCCCACAGTTGAGAAAAGGTAAGCTTGAAACTACCTCTTGAGGGAGGCAGGCACTTTCTTGGGTCTGAGAAGAATTATGAGGTTACGATTCAAGCCTCCTGACAGGCAACTATTTAAACACTGGAAACCTATTTTCAAAGGCTCAGTCTTGGGTGTGCTTGCAGGAGCCCGTTGGGAGAGGTGGAGGGAGCACCCCACACAGGCTGGGAAATGTGGCTGCTGCTGGGGTCGATCCGGATAGAGCAGGCTCCCTTCATCACACACCTGCTCCTGGTCAGGATCACATTATCTGGTGAGTAAGGGATGACGGTGATGGGCATCATCAGCCCATGCGAGGTGTGAAGAAGCCCTCAGCTCCTCTCCATTGAAGAAGACTCCTCAAGGCACTTTATGAACCCACCATGAAGCCCTTCCCACTGCACTAAGGGAGGGACTCTTTGGTACTAGCAGGATGGTCTCGTCTGTAAGAGGGACTAAGGGTTCAGACTGGGCTCTGCCTCTCATAGCTGTGTTGACCTTGAGCAAGATAAATGCGCCTTTAGAGTGTCAATTTCTTCATGAAAGAAACAAGGAGCTTGGTGAGAGCCAACTGCTGCCAAGGTTGCCAAGGATCAGAGAGGGGCACGCAGAGTGGGGTGAGCTCTGGGCCTTGATGCTCACAATGGGCAGGGGCAGGGGTGGGGCTCTCCAAGCTGCTTATAACCCACTCACCTGCCATAAATTCAGAAAGTAGGAGTAAGCGTTTAGAAATGTTCATAGCAGTGTCATGGGCATATTTCACATCTGTTAAATCTAATAAGAAACTTTGGTGTATCATGTTGAATGCTTTTAAAATTCCATTCTTCTAGTGATCTTTATTTTACCTTAAAGAAATATGGTTTGTGGTGGAATTGAAATTAAGAAAAGAGCAACAACAACCCAGGTTCTTCACTGCAGATCATGTGACAAGGGCTGAGCTAAGAGATTCAGGCCCAACTGCCTCATTTTACGGATGAAGAAACTGTCATGGAGAGAGGTTGGGTGCCATGCTCAAGGTCAGATACTTGGCTGGAGGTGACTCGGGCCAACCTAGCTGAGGCCAGCCCTAGTTTCCAGGTGGTCTGGCCAGGATTTTGCACGGGGACTGGCCCATTTGGTAACACAACACCACACTGGTTCTCTTGGATGGCTTTGTGCTTGGGTTTTCTTCACGGATAAAGGCAGAGGGGAGGAGAGACAGCTGGGCCAGCAGGACGGGACTCCACGAGGAGAGAATCCATTTCTCACTGACAGGCACAGTGTCCATATTTTTAGCACAGGAAACAAAAGAAATGCTTTTTACTACTCATCTCAGACACTGGGCCAATAGATGACCTGTTCAGGCCTAGAACCCCAAACTTATTCACATCAAACATTCTAGGGGCAGTTTTATTATTAACTGAATTTTGTGAGTGAGGGAAAAACTTTTTTGTCAATTTTGAGAGTGCTCTTCAAACACTAAACAGATTACGAAGGGCAAAAAGCCTTACTAAATTTGGGTTTGGAGTTCATTGACCTGCATACTATATTTTTACCATAAAAATGAGAAATATGAAACATAAGGTCTAAACATTTTCTTTGTATTAAAATTTTTTTTCTATCAATTTTGTATCTCAGATATTACTTTATTTTTGGGAGTGGTTCTCCTAGAGCCTATCTGACTAAGAATAAACATTTTCAACTTGTCATTAAGCTGTAAACTTGCTGCAAAATATTGTCGTGGGTGAGGAGGGTGAGGTGATACCTGGCAAAATCCTGTTTCCATAAAGGCATCATCCTGCACCTTTGAGGCCGACAGCATCCTGGCCACCACGGACAAGGAGCCCTTCTCTCTCTCGGAAGGAGGGAGCCTTTCCTAAGGGAGTGACTAGCGCCGGGCAATGCAATCCCGGCCGATCATTCGGCACAGTTCAGTCTGGGCAGCTCACACTTCCCTGCATTTCAGGGTCACCAGCGGTGCCGCTGTGCTGGGAGTACACCTGGCGCTGAAGCGGCTCGGGGCTGTCTAATGATGTGCATGCATCTGCTAATGGGTTTCTTCCCAGCTGTGTTTTACAAGTTATGGGTTCAGGTAACGGTCCCGGTCCATGGCACTCGCGTGGCTTACCTGGCGGGGGAGGGGCAGCTCTCATCGGGTAGTTGGCATTGTGAGTCTGACTGGAATAACCTCTGCTTTGGGTGATGTTCCTCCTGGTGGGACCTGAAATTAGCCAGCACCTATCATGAGCACGGGGTGAGAAGGAAGACGGTGCGGGGAAGAGAAGGGGAGGAAGCCCCAGGTCCCCGGGGTGCAGACACTTACGGGAGTTCTTGGGCAGCCCGGGTCCGATGCTGACCTGCAGCACTTTGTTGCTGGGCTTGAGGATGGCCAGGTCCCCGAAGCCCTGGTGGAACTGCACCTGCCGGGAGCCCCCGGCACTCCAGGGGCCCCAGTTCTCTTTTTTCAACTTGAGTTCAAGCCTGCGACAAGCATATGGGTTGGAGTTAAGCCAGAAGGAAGCAGAGAGAGAATGCAGCTCACCCACCCCAGCATGGAGCTCGACGCTGGGCCAACCTGCTGTAAACCAAGGCAGGACCAGGATTTGCAAACCAGCGCAGGGCCCGGGGGTGAGTCTGACAGCCACAGTTTGGCACAAGCGTGAGCCAGAGGCAGAGCATCCGGGGCCCAGCACCTGTGAGACACCAGGTGGTGAGGCAGGTGCCAATGTCTCTGCAGGTGGACTCAGGTGGGACCGCTGGGGGACAGGAGGAAGGGGACAATTTCCAGGCCACACCTGCCGTGGTGCGCCCTCATGCCTCTTTCCCATTTCCCTGGTCTGTTTGTGGAGGACTGGGAGCTGCCAGGTACACGTTAGCCCGTGTCTTCCTGAGTGTAGAATGCGGTTATTATTAACCTAAGTCAGTGATGGCGAACCTTTTGAGCTCGGCGTGTCAGCATTTTGAAAAACCCTAACTTAACTCTGGTGCTGTGTCACATATAGAAATTTTTTGATATTTGCAACCATAGTAAAACACAGACTTATATTTTTGATATTTATTTTATATATTTAAATGCCATTTAACAAAGAAAAATCAACCAAAAAAATGAGTTTGCGTGTCACCTCTGACACGCGTGTCATAGGTTCGCCATCACTAACCTAAGTTCTAGTCCTTCACCATGACCCCGCCCCAGGCAGAGAAGACAGCGCTCAGCAGCCCAAATCCAAATAGCAGGGAGGTGTCCTCACAACTCCAACTGCACCCCCAGCCAGTTTTTATTTTTCATATTGCCTGCTAGTGTATGCTTACACAGTTCCATTCCATATTCTGCTTTTTAAAAACCCTATTTTTCATGTTGTTGAACCAAAAAAATCATAATTTTCAGTAGCTGCCTATTATTCTATTGAGTGGCTTGGCTCTTCATAGTCTCCCTTTCTTGTTATTCCCTTATTACAAATTCCCAGAAAAAATAACTGCCCCTGTATGAACAGCCAAATGGTTCCTTGGAAAAGCAGCAAAGAATCCATACAATTACCAGTATCTATTTCAATGCAACCACAGCAACATCAATCATGGTAAGTTTCCCTCATCATGGAATTAAGGCTTTACTTTGGAATTCTTGTGGGTAATAAGAGAGATCTCCATGTTATAGATGGAAATTTAAGAAGAAAAAACCCCACTCTCACCTGACAAATAGGAGATCAGAAGCTTGCCGTATACCAGGATCTGGCCCACAAGACCACGTGGTTAAAGCAAAGGCAGGCGAGCCAGGACCCAAGGCGCTGGCCATCTGCAGCCCACCAGTCCCCCATGCCCCACCCAGAGGTGTTATGCATTGATTTTGGGAACTTAAGCTCCACTCTGTTCACTTTCTCTTTCTTCCAGTCTTACTCTGCCCTGGCTGCTCTGCTAAATAAAGTATTCTTTTATTGGTAATATAAAAAAATCTGCCTTTTCCTGCCTCATTTTGGTGACCTTTGTCCAAATGACAAAATACATCCTTTGGTGAAGTCATTGTTTCACAGAAACACAAAAGTGACCTTTTCAAAGTCTGTGACAGCCATTGGACTGCAATCTGCAGCCCTGCGATTCCAGGGGGTAGGGGGAGGTGGGGGTGAAACACACCTCCTCTCAGCCTGGACCTTGGCAGTGAGCTCAGGGCCCCAGGTCCCAACTTACGTGTTGCTAAATTTCAGAGGTAGTTGTTTCTGGGTTTTTTCCTCATAACGCTTTGCTAAGAGGCTTAAGAATTCAGTTTTGAAGACGGATTCAAGCAAACTGTCATACTCTTGCTCGTGAAGAATAAAAATGTCATCTTGCATCGTACTGCAGAGGTTAGAAAGAAAAGAAAAGTTGCACTTTTGTTTACCCATCCTTTTTTCACTTGGTTTTTTAAATTCTGTAAGACAGCACTCGGTTTCTAGCTTTTCTTCCTGTAAGGGAGAATCTTTACAACAAAACACAACAAGGCGTTACATAACGGAGCCACTGGAACCGGCTTTGGGAGGAAGTGTACAGCCACCCCCGCATCCACAGGAGCACCTCTCCCACGTCACTGCCAAAAGCAGAACTTCAAGAACGGTTTAGTCTTTAAGAAAATCCATTTTCAAATTCCATTTCTATGTTCTTACGATCACGTAAATCCAGAATGTGGCTGAGTACAATGGGCTGACAAGGAACCATTCCACATACGTCCCAAGTTAGTAGAACTGACGACATGGTTGCAGCTACTGTAATAAATCCCAATTTGAAGAATTGTAAGCTCAGTTATCAAAAGGGAAGCCGACATCCTGGGCTTCGAATGCCCTCATTATTAGGGGCGTTTGGGTACTCGGTGCTCAGCTAACGTGTGCCAGGTGCCGCTGAAGGGCACACACCCCGCAGGGCAGACACACACCGGCCAGGTGTGCGACAGCAGCAACCACGAGCATCCATGCCACCCGATGCGTTCCGCGGCGCAGGGAGAGCACAGCTTTTCGGGAAATGCACGTTTGGGAAGGGTACGGCTGGGGACAAACATGCCACGTCCCTTGGAATTAATGAAATGAAGCCCGAGCATCCTAGCACAAGCGCCAGAGGCTGCTGCGTTAAAAAAAGTAAAACCAGAGCACCACTTTCTGGCGTGTGGGGTGAGGTATGCCACTCCTGTTGAGCTGGCTGGACTCAAAGCATTCTTTGACCTGTCCAGACGTGTCTGTTTGTCCGGCTGAACTGTAGGCGGGACTGATTATTCAGCGGGGCTAACTGAGCCCAACAGAAGTAATCCTGAGCAGTTTAATGTGCTTAGATTTATTACCATAAAGAAAAAGAAAAAGCAAGAAGGCCAAAACTGCAAGGTCCATTATCAGCATGAGTCTGGAAACGAGAAGAGATGGTTTGGACACTTTGACTTCAACCATCAAATCAAAACCCCTCCCTTCCATGACCCAGGCTTAGGAGTTGGTGAGTCCATCCTTGTCCGGGCCAGGGTCCCAGCCCATTCCTTTCTCCTCAGCCCATGCTCCTAGATCTGGAAACAAAGCTTTTACATTTATTTATTCTTAAAAAAAAAACCTTTGGATTTCGCCCTTGTCTTATTCATGTGCTCAAGCTGCAATTCCTTGCAGATGTCTGCACCCCGTGCTGAAAGCTCCCTCCCCGGTGTAGTCCCTGCTTTGGCTTCCTGCTTGTTTTTATCCGCTCATCTTTGTGGCTTATTGTGGTATTGTTGACACTAGAAAATCTTGTTTTACTCCCCAAACCAGTATCTTCTTCAAAAAATGTTAGTTACAAAACACTGAGAAAAGTCTTAAAGGCATTTCCCCCCCTTAAAGCCGAAGAGGCCATGTGCTGAGATGGCCCTGCCTTTATAAAAATTGTTCCTGATTATGAAATAAATGCTCCTTTTAGCAACCTGGAAAGTACCGAGGTAAATCCAGGAGAAAACAGACCTTGTCCAGAGCTCCACCCTCAGGGAAACCAGTGGCACCAGGCTGGGAATCTATGCATTTCTCTGAGAAAGTGCAGGGATACGTTGTATGAGGCCTCATCACAGACCTCCGAGAACGCCACCCGGCCACCTGGCTGCAGGCGCAAAGGCTCCTTCCCATCTTCGAACACCAGGCCTGCCCTGGGCATCCCTCTCTGAACACTTCTAACCTGGGGCACACGTTTACTCAGGTGTCTGCTCCCCTTTCCAGAGTGGAAGGGGCTCCCTGCGGTGGTGACTATGTCTCATTCACCTTCGAATCCAGGGCTGAACACAAGGTAGGTGGTCAGTTCCAAAGGCCGATGACGTCTAGGTTCCCAACGCTCAAAGGCCATGACGAGTCACAACAAGATTTCACAGTGGGCTTCAGGTCAGCCGAGCAGGTGGTGAAGCGGGCTGCTCTGACCACCAGAGGCTTGGGCAATTGGGCAACGAAACATCTGGGCAAGAATGCTATCACCAAAGAAGCTGGCACCTCTGTTTACAGCCCCTCTCACAGGCTGCTTTGCCATCACATACAGACTGGCAGCCACGTGGCTTTTTGTTCTTAGGCATGACCAGCTATGGGAATGAGAAGGGCTTCTAGAAGCTTCACAGACAGAGTCCCCAAATATGAGACTTTATGGTACCAATTTCATTGCCTAAAAACAGGACAGCAAAGAGCATAGGCTATGCCACCTTGTGGCCACGCTTTCAGCAAACTGAGCTTTTCCAACAGGAGTGAGGCCGGATCAGTGCTTGGACAGGAAGCAGCTCTGGAAGGGTTCTTCCAAAACGGATGCTTGGCCTGTCAGCAGACTCCGGGCCTCGAAAAACCGACGTCTCAACTAAATATTGATGTGCCATCTCCCCACACTCTCCCCAGGTCTCCAGGGAAGGCGGAAGCCAGCATCAGTGGTCCTGTCTGACTTCTTTTAGATGAGGATTTTCCTGTTCACATTACCCTAGAGTCCCTTGGACAGCTGTAGTGTTAGTCTCTCCCAGCTACTGGGCCAATCCTATTTTTTTCTTGTAAGTTAAAAAATTTCAACTATAACTCGACCAGATATATTTCAGCATACTTATAAAAGGTAAAGAAAAGACTTCTAAAATATGATGTCTATTGGATTAGAAAAAACTGTTGACTATGGAAAATCTTAAATATATAGAGGGTAGAATGAACCTCCACATGTCAAGTGTAAACAATAACCGATCCACAATCATATCTGCACTCCTACTCCCCCCACTTCCACACACAAGCCAGGCTACTCTAGAGCAAAGTGTAAACATCATATTACTTTATCCCTAAATATTTCAGTGTGAATCTCTAAAACACAAAGCCTCGTTAAGTAAAAATAACCACAATACCATTATCACGCCTAAAGAAAGGAACAATAAACCCTTCCTCTCAAATATTTAGTCATGTCCACATTTCCCAAACGGTCTCATAATTGTTTGTGAACGGTGGTTTGTTTGAACAGGGAGCCGAGGGCCCGTTTTGCTTTGACAGTGATTATGTTATAACAGACAGAGAGGGGCTGAAAGACCAAATGTGTGGGACACTTGGATGGTCTTAACTAGAAGTCATTAGGAGGTCCTTCCAGCCAGTAGTCACACAGTCAGCCTCATAAAGTCTTCAAAACACACATACAAGTTATAACATGTTTTTCCTGAGGTGCAAAACACTGCTAAAATCTTTCTCTATATTGAAATATTTGAACACACCACACACACACACGTTTGGTGGTCTGGTAACCACAATCAATTTCTACTCTCGGTTTGAGTCTATACACACCATCCCCATCTGTTCATTGCACTCCTAACTTGGTTTAGGTGGCTGGTTAGCCCAATGAAGGAAGGAAAGAAGGGGACAGTATTAATCTTGGTGAACGTGAGGTTCAGTGACTACAACATTCAGAAATCACGAGCTAAAATGACTCAAGCTCTTTCTTTTCCCCATCGTGTCAGGACAACTTTCAGGCTAAATACCTCATTTTATTACCGCCTCTAGCAAGGGAAGGCTGCAGGAAGCACGTGTCCAGACCATGACTGCTAAAGAGGAAGCAGGAAAAGAAGCTGGTGTTACCAGGAGACACTGTACTCCCAGATGCTGACAGAAAGACAACAAAAGACAGAAGGAAAACATTTGAGTGTGAATATCCGACATCTTGATAAGCCTCAAGGACTTGATCAACAAGATAGTGTCAAAGTGTGTGATACAAATGTAGGCCTGATACAAATGTAGGTCAAGTCCCCCTGAATGCTTTGAAGACAGGGCTAGGTGATGATAATGGGAAGAACAGTAATCACTCTTCGCCTAACGAGCACAGAGCACATGTTTGGCCCGGAGCCGGCCTCGCTGCAGCAAACCCAGCTCAGCTCCGGGGTGGCTGGTCCCCACGCCAGAAAAGAGAAGCTTCCATTGGGTTCCTTCGAACACCAAGGGCAGCTCAGCCTCAGGGCCTAGCAGTCAGGAAGAATGCGGCTCAGGCTGTGACCCAGCCGACGAGCCCAACGCTCAGGAAGACCTGAAAGCCAGACAGCGTCTGCAGCTCTTCCTTGAAATTCATGGCACCGAGACCCATCCGAGGTGGGGCCTCCCAAAGGCTGCTGAGGGAGCCCTCTGCTTAGAGGGTTTACCACAGCCTGAGTCAAATGCTTCACACGCTTAACCTCACAGCACCACCCGGTCCTTTATCGGGAACATTGGGAGCCACAGGGACACAGGCAAGAATGGACACGGCTTGAAATCTGCTTTGGATCATCTCCCTGGAGCCAGGACCTCCAGCCCAGCCGGTCAGACGCCTGAGCACGCAAACCCCTGCTTTCTCCCGAGAGCAGCAGTTTTGTTCTGTGTGGAATAAGGGTTCAGAGATGTGCCAACTCCAGGAAGACATGTTCGCAAGCAACTGGAACATCGCTGCTTTTGAGGCAATGGCAGCCCCCAGAGGTCGCCCTGGCAGAGGCACCGGGATCCTCAGAAGGGCTCCCAGAGGCAACTCCAGGAAGAAGCTGCTGGGCTCAAAGGGGCCCTTCTTCCTCTTTTCTTAGCCTCTGTGGACGCGGAGGGCCTCCTCTTACCAGAGGGAGCTTGACCAGGGAGTTCTTAGCATGGGATTTGGGAAGTCGCCCTCTGCCAAGCAAAGGCAGAGTGCTGACAGGAGGAGCCAGGGCCCTGCCTTGAACTTGGAGGTGAGCGGCGTGACTGGCAATGACCCCAGGCTACAGCTCACGGTGGCCAATCTGTATTCCCTCCCTTGGAGGAACAGGCAGGAAGGGCCTCGAGGAGCCCAAAGAAGCTTCCTTTCCTGTCCAGTCAGAGGGCACAGCAAGCTATGCAGCGGTTCTCAACCTGTGGGTCGCGACCCCTGAAAATACATCCTGCATATCAGCTATTTACATTATGATTCATAGCAGTAGCAAAATTATAGTTATGAAGAAGCAACAAAAATAATTTTATGGTTGGGGGTCACCACAACGTGAGGAACTGTATTGAAGGGTCGCGGCATTAGGAAGGCTGAGAACCACTGTGTGAAACCAATGCTGATGGCCACCTCTGCCTGGGCCTTGTGGTGAAACAGGTGGGTGCTCCACGTGGGTGAGGTGGGCTTGGGGATGGACTCTGGGCCCGTGGCCCCACTTCAGTAAGAGCAATGATACCACTTCACATATTTCTCATGTTTGATGGGAAAAAAGGGTCTGAGTGTCTCCTGATGAGAGAAGCTAATAGTGCGCGACTTTTTCTTGGTGTCGCATCCTGTCACATCAGGACCCCTGGGACCAAGGAAGGCCAGGTCCGCTGAGAGAAGATGAGGAGACTGTTCTCTTCATCCCGATGGCGACACCGGGGGACCTGACAGGCCTTTCATCGGCCGTATTTGGACCAGCACGGGGCACCCCTCGCCACTCAGCCTGAGGGACACGGACAAGATCCTCTCCATCTCGATTCTCCGCTTCAGTACTTCCTTCACTTGGCCTTTGTCTGGGCCCTGTTTGACCTTTTCTCGGCCAATCAGGTACAAGCACTTCGGAGTAAGAATCAAGTCGCGCTTTATGCCCTGGAAGGAGAGGCGCTTTCAGAAGGGGGATAGGCACGCTAGGGTGACAGCTGTCCACAGAGTGGGCACCTGCTACCCCATGAAGGGAAGCTGCCTTGGGTAGTGAATGGGAACACTATTAATAATTATTAGGCTGACACATATGACATTATTGGTACCTGACTCTCTCTGATTCACAGAAATGGCAAACTCATCTGGACCCACCTAAGGTATCAGATAACAGGTATAAAGGGACAGTTGTGGGCAAACCAACACATATGATGACACTGCCAGTTATCTGCCACAGACATTTCTCAAACAGGGATCCCTCAAGTGTCTGCATATGTATTTTTTGAGTCCATGACATTTTTACTTTTGAAAATGGAAAAATTTTGCCCTAATTTGTTTGGCTCAGTGGATAGAGTGTCAGCCTGTGGAATGAAGGGTCCCGGGTTCGATTCCGGTCAAGGGCACATGCCTGGGTTGTGAGCTCGATCCCTAGTAGGGGATGTGCAGGAGGCAGCCGGTCAATGATTCTCTCTCATCATTGATGTTTCTATCTCTCTCTCTCCCTCTCCCTCCCCCTCTGAAATCAATAAAAACATATAAAAAAGAAAATGGATAAATTTTCATTTCATTGATAATCTTTAAAAATCGAATATGAGGTCCTGGCTGGGTAGCTCATTTGTTTAGAGCAGTGATGACGAATCTTTTCAGCTCGGCGTGTCAGCATTTTGAAAAACCCTAACTTAACTCTGGTGCCGTGTCACATATATAAATTTTTTGATATTTGCAACCATAGTAAAGCAAAGACTTGTATTTTTGATATTTTATATATTTAAATGCCATTTAACAAAGAAAAATCAACCAAAAAAATGAGTTCCCATGTCAGAGGTGACACGCATGTCATATGTTCGCCATCACTGGGTTAGGGCATCGTCCTGATACGCTAAGGTTGATGATCAGTCTCTAGCCAGGGCACAAACAAGAAGCAATCAATGAATGCATCAATAAGTGGAACAACAAATCAATGGTTTCTCTCTCCCTCTC